GTCGTGGAGCCAATCATCTCCAAGCTCTCACACAGGTGCTGTAACTAGGGGGAGTTGCCTCCCAGTTACATATTGGGGGGAAGTTCCTTCCATCCCCCTGGCTTAGAGCTTGGCCACAGCTATTTAACATATCTATGCAACCAGTTAAAGGTTATAGATGTGTTAAATGACCATGCCAGAGGTTAGTTGCCAAGCTGTTCCTATGCAAAACAGCTCTCTATGGCCCTGCTCCTTGTGACCCTTCCCCAACTCATACCTGTGGTGTAGGGCAAGGACATCCTATATATCTTTCTAATATTTCCTGGACACCTTGAGTTCTGGACCCCATTACAAATCCTTCTTTTGGGGGCCCCCTGGCTGTACCCTCCTACAGCTTTGCACAGTGACTCCATTTGGGTCAGTTTTTTTTTTTTAAGTTTATGTATTGATTTTTAGAGAGAGAGAGGAGGGGAGAGAGAGTGAGAGAAACATCGGTTTCTTGTTCCACTCATTGTTTTCATTGCTTGTTGGGTTCTTGTATGTGCCCTGACCCTTGGACCAGGGTGATACTCTGATGAGCTGCCCTGCCAGGGTAGTTATTTCTTTTTGATAGAGGAATGAGCCATAACTTTATTGAAAGCCTTGATTACCTAAAGGGTAAGGAATTAGGGAATTCTTGAGGTAACTCTTGCTGAAATGTGTTTGCGAGTTGAGGTCAAAAGAGTAAATGTCCCTTATCAAGGTTTAGTCACTTCCTTCCTGGTCAGTGTGCCTTTTCTTAGGGGAGCTACAGCAGGAGGCTGTGGAGAATAGATGGAAAACATCCAGAGATGGATTTTACAAACTGGGGACAGCCCGTTTATAAAAACAGTATCTCTTCATCAGACAAGTCAAGGCAACTTTTGAAAATGTGGCATGCCATTCACAGCCCTCGAAACTATGGCAACCAAATCTGAACTGCTGATTCAAAGGGATGGGTCCTAATCCCAGGGGAATTCGAATTCCTTTTAGATTTGTTAAGAAGGAAAATGCTACCATCTTTATTTGCAATTTATTTGCAACAATTTGCAGTTGTTGTCCTGGGTACAATCCTAAAAACAGTAGTGTCTTATTTGTGAAAGTACAGATCTCTATGTTAGATACAGTGTGAAACATTTTTGCATACATCATTTAATGCAGTCCTCACAACATTCCAAGAGATCATACTATTGTTATCCTGATTTAACGATGGCATGAGGAAACCAAGGTTTAGGGAGGCAAAGTAACTGACCCAAGGTCAGACAGCTGGGCAGATACCTGGCCATATTCAGTCTGATACCAGGTCCAAAGTTTTCAGTTTCATCCAATTAGCAAGTGGACAGTTTATTCAATATTCTGGCTGACTAGATAAACCTATAATTTGTGGTTGTTATCATGATCTCACCGATCCGTACAATCAGGACTTCTTTTTTTTAAAAGGTTTTATTATTTATTTATTTTTAGAGAGAGGGGAAGAAAGGGAGAAAGAGAGAGAAAAGCATCAGAAAAGCATCATTGAAGGAGAAAAACATCAATCAGTTTCCTCTCACACATACCCAACTGGGGACCTGGCGAGCAACCCAGGCATGGAGCCTGAGTGGAATCAAACTGGCGACCTTTCGATGTGCCGGCTGGCGCTCAGTCCACTGAGCCACCCCAGCCAGGGCAATGAGGACGTTTTTATGTTAGAATAGAATGCACAGTAAGGATGACACCTTCTGTAATATCTCTTCCAATTTTCCAAGTCTTTGTTCCAGTTAGGGCTTCCCTTTCCTTTCTGACCTCCAACCCATTGTAGCTCAGTGGGTTGGGCATTGTCCTGCAAACTGAAAGGTCACCAGTTCAATTCCTAGAGAAGGTACATGTCTGAGTTGGTTATGTGGAAGAGGCAACCGACTGATGTTTCTCTCCCACATCTATATTTCTCTCCCTCTCTCCTTCCCTTCTTCTCTCTCTAAAAAATAAGTACATAAAAACTAAAAATGAAAAAAGAAAAAAACAGAGCTAAGGGTCAAGTACCTTGTTCAAGGTCACACAGGTGATTTATGGTAGAGCCAGTGTTTTTTAAAAAATATTTAATTTATTTATTCTTAGACTGAGGGGAAGGAAGGGAGAAAGAGAGGGATAGAAACATCTATGTGTGAAAGAAACATCAATCAGTTGCCTCTCACATGTACCCAACCACAGACTTGTCCCGAAACCCAGGCACATGCCCTGGCTGGGAATTGAATCAGCCACTTTTAGGTTTGTAGAATCAAAGGGCCTGGTTTTTGTTTTTCTTAAGTATATTTTATTGATTATGCTATTACAGTTGTCCCAATTTTTCTCCCTTTACTCGCCTCTGCCCAGCACCCCCTTCCCTCCAGCAATCCCTCCTTTTAGTTTATGCCCATTTGTTTTGCATATAAATTCTTTGGCTTCTCCATTTCCTATACTACTCCTAACCTCCCCCTGTCTATTTTGTACCTACTAATTATGTTACTTTTTTAAAGTTTTTTAAAAGATTTTATTTATTTATTTTTAGAGAGGGAAGGTAGGGAGAAAGAGAGAGAGAGAGAGAAGCATCAATGTGCAGTTGCTAAGGTCCATGGCCTGCAACCCAGGTATGTGCCTTGACTGGGAATCGAACCTGCGATGCTTTGGTTCACAGCCCACGCTCAATTCACTGAGCTACGCCAGCCAGGGGCTAATTATGTTTCTTAATCCCTGTACCTTTCCCCCATTCTCCACCCTTCCCCATTGATAACCCTCCATGTGATCTCCATTTCTATGATTCTGTTCCTGTTCTAGTTGTTTGCTTAGTTTCTGTTTTTGATTTTTTAGATTCAGTTGTTGATACTTGTGAGTTGTCATTTTACCGTTCATAGTTTTGATCTTCTTCTTCTTAAACAAGTCCCTTTAACATTTCATGTAATAAGGGCTTGGTGATGATGAACTTCTTTAGCTTTACTTTGTCTGGGAAGCACTTTATCTTCTCTTCCATTCTAAATGATAGCTTTGCTGGATAGAGTAATCTTGATTGTAGGTCCTTGCCTTTCATAACTTTGAATGCTTCTTTCCAGCCCCTTCTAGCCTGCAAAGTTTCTTTTGAGAAATTAGCTGATAGTCTTATGGGAACTCCTTTGTAGGCAACTGTCTCCTTCTTTCTCTCTTGCTGCTTTTAAGATACTTTCTTTATCTTTAACCTTTGGCATTTTAATTATGATGTGTCTTGGTGTTGCCCTCCTTGGCCCAACTTGTTTGGGACTCACTGTGCTTTCTGGATTTGTATGTCTGTTTCCTTTGCCAAATTAGAGAAGCTTTCTTTCATTATTTTTTCAAAAAAATTTTCAATTTCTTGCTTTTCTTCTTCTTCTTCTCCTTCTGGCATCCCTATGATTTGCATGTTGACACATTTGGAGATGTCCCAGAATCTTCTAATTCTCTCCTTGTTTTTTTGAATTCTTGTTTCTTCATTCTGTACTGGTCGACTGCTTATTTCTTCGTTATGTTCTAAATCATTGATTTGAACCCCAGCTTCCTTCCCTTCACTGTTGATTCCCTGTAGATTTTTCTTTATTTCACTTAATATAAACTTCATTTCTACCTTCATGTTGTTGCCACACTCAGTGAGGTCTTTAAGCATCTTGATCACCAGTGTTTAGAACTCTGCTTCTGATAGGTTGGCTCTCTCCATTTTGCATAATTCTTTTTCTGGATTTTTGATCTGTTCTTTCATTTGGGCCATATTTCTTTGTCTTCTCAATTTGGCGGCCTCCTGTGTTTGTTTCTGGTGCACCTGCTACATTGTAAGGGGTGGAGCCTTCGGTATTCACCAGAGCAGGGCAACCCACTTCGAAGCTTTCTGGCACTGTGTGTGGGGGAGAGGTTGGGGAGGGGTTGGGGAGGGAACAATACCACTTGCTTGGCTTTCACCCTGTTTCCAGTCACTTTCCCAACTTCCCGTATATGACCGGCACCATTCAAGCTGCTGCCCTGGTGCTGAATCCCAGAGTGAGTGGGTTTGCATATGTTCTAGGGCCATGTGAGTCCTTTAAACAGGCTTTCCTGAGAGACTGGCTATTTCTTCCACTGTCCCCAACACCACTGGTTTTTACAGCCAGAAATTATGAGGCTCTATTCCTGGTGCTGGAACCCTGAGCTGTGTGGTCTGGCCTGGGACTGGGATGGCTTGCTCTCCAGGTGTCCCTCCTGGTCTTCATACACCACACTTGAAGGGGAGACCACCCATTCCACTAGCCACCGCCACTGCTGCATCACCACAGCCCCAAGGCATCCTTTCTGCCCTGTTCCTGCCCCTCCTACAGGTCTGGATGAATATTTCTTCTTTAAATCCTTGGTTGTTGGACTTCGATACAGTTCTATTTTCTGGCAGTGCTGGTTGTATTTTGTTTTGAGGTTAGCTGTGAACCTTCTTATGGTTGTGCAAGGAGGCAAAGTGTGTCCACCTACACCTCCATCTTGACCAGAAGTGGTAGAGCCAGTTTTGAACCCAGCCTGGCAAGGTTACATCTGGGTAGTCACCCTGCTTTGTTGTCTCTTGATAATATTCTCTCTCTCTCTTTTAAAAAATATTTTATTTATTTACTTTTAGAGAAGGGGGAAGGAGAAAGAAAGGGAGAGAAACATCAGTGTGTAAGAGATACATGGATCTGTTGCCTCTCACTCTCCCCCAACTGGGGACTAGGTCCGCAACCCAGCCATGTGTCCTGGCCAGGAATCAAACTGGCAACCTCTTGGTTTGCAGGCAGGTGCTCAATCCACTAAACCACAGTAGCTAGGGCTCTTGATAATATTCTTTTTTGTGTGTGGGGGTGTGCAGTGAACTTTATTGATGGTGCATGACAAGGCAGGGTTCCCTAAGCCCCTCCCTCTTCAGGGGGTCTAGGATAGAAACTGGAGGTCAGGAGATTCTCAATGCACTGGGGGATAGATTTGGGGCAAGGACTCCCCTGCAGCTAAGGGTCTCTTCCTGTCACTGGGTCTGGTGGTCCATCGGGTTCTTATTCCTTGGAAACCATGTAGACCACAAGGTCTACCACTTTGTTACTATAGCCAAATTCATTGTCATACCAGGAAATGAGCTTGACAAAGTGGTCATTGAGGGCAATGCCAGCCCTGGTATTGAAGGTGGAGGAGTGGGTGTCACTGTTAAAGTTGCAGGAGACCACCTGGTCCTCAGTATAGCCCAGGATGCCCTTGAGGGGGCCCTCTGATGCCTGCTTCACTACCTTCTTGATGTCATTGTATTTGGCAGCTTTCTCCAGGTGGCAGGTCAGGTCCACAACAGACACATTGGACGGGGGAACACGGAAGGCCATGCCAGTGAGCTTCCTGTTCAGCTCAGGAATGACCTTGCCCACAGCCTTGGCAGCGCCAGTGGAAGCAGAGATGGTGTTCTGGGCAGCCCCTCGTCCATAACACCACAGTTTGACAGAGAGCCTATCCACAGTCTTTTGGGTGGCAGTGATGGCATGGACTGTGGTCATGAGTCCCTCCACAATGCCAAAGTTGTCATGGGTGCCCTTGGCCAGGGGGGCCAAGCAGCTCGTGTTACAGGAAGCATTGCTGACAATCTTCATGGAGTTGTCATACTTGTCACAGTTCACACCCATCACAAACATGGGGGCATCCACAGAAGGGGCAGAGATGATGACTCTCTTAGCTCCACCCTTCAAGTGAGTCCCAGCCTTCTCCATGGTGGTGAAAACACCAGTGGACTCCACAACATATTCAGCACCAGCATCACCCCATTTGATGTTGGCAGGATCTTGCTCCTGGAAGATGCAGATGGATTTCCCATTGATGACAAGCTTCCCATTCTCAACTTTGACTATGCCTTTGAACTTGCTGTGAGTTGAATCATACTGGAACATGTAGATAATGTAGTTGAGGCCAATGAAAGGGTCATTGATGGTGACAATGTCCACTTTGCCAGAGTAAAAGGCAGTCCTGGTGACCAGGCACCCAATACAGCCAAATCCGTTCACTCTAATCTTCACCATCGTGTCTCAGGGTTGAGGCTGGCACTGCGTAGAAAGATGCGGCTGTCTGTTGAACAGGAGAAGCAGAGAGCCTCTTGATAATATTCTTGAAAACACATCCCTGATCCCCTTGCAGTGCTAATTTCCCACCTTAGACACTGTTGCAGGGCCTTGGTTATCTGCGCAAGCTCTGTTATCACTTGGAACTGGGTGTGAATACTGACTAGTTATATAATCTTGGGTGAATTGCTGTACTTCTCTTAGCCTTTGACATCTCCATCTGTAAAACGGAGAGTGCAATAATACCTACCTGCAATGTTGTGGTTACAATTAGCTAATGCATAATAAACATTTCTTTAGGATACTGCCTTTATTCTATTTGTAGTTGGAAAAATTAAGTGGTACAGAAAAAACAGTCAATCAGTTGGAGACAAGAGAGAAACTGAATGCCACCCAAAAGTACTGGCCTCCTCTGGGAGGAAATCTGGATACAGTGAGGACAACGAGCCCTGTGAGCTAGAACCAGACCCTGCAGTCAAAGTGAGACCAGTAACGCTACCTTTTGAAGTGTCTAAATGCTTCAGCTGTGAAACCAAATTTGCATTCACTTAGTCCAGCTCTGGGGAGGGAATACTGGGTTGTGTGGGACTGAAAATCAGCTATATGGCTATCTTTTTTTCAATATATTTTGTTGATTATGCTATTACAGTTGTTCCATTTCCCCCCTTCACTCTCCTCCTGCCTGCCCACCCCCTCCCATCCACATTCCCCTCTTTAGTTCATGCCCACAGGTCATACATATAAGTTCTTTGGCTTTACATTTCCTATACTATTCTTTCCCTTCCCCTGTCTATTTTCTACCTACCATTTATGCTACTTATTCGCTGTACTTTTTCCTCCTCTCTCCTGCTGCCACTCCCCTGTTGCTAACCCTCCATGTGATCTCCATTTCTGGTTCTGTTCCTGTTCTAGTTGTTTGCTTAGTTTGGTTTTGTTTTAGGTGTGGTTGTTAATAATTGTGAGTTTGCTGTCATTTTACTATACATGTTTTTTATCTTTTTTTCCTTAGATAAGTCCCTTTAACATTTCACATAATGAGGCCTTGGTGATGGTGAACTCCTTTAACTTGAGCTTATCTGAGAAGCACTTTACCTTCCCTTCCATTCTAAATGAAAGCTTAGCTGGATAGAGCAATCTTGGATGGAGGTCCTTGCCTTTCATGACTTGGAATACTTCTTTCCAGCTCCTTCTTGGCTGTAAGGTCTCTTTTGAGAAATCAGCTGACAGTCTGATGGGAACTCCTTTGTAGTTACCATCCCCTTATTTCTTGCTGCTTCTAGGATTCTCTCCTTCATTTTCACCTTGGCTAATGTAATTATGATGTACCTTGGTGTGTTCCTCCTTGGGTCCAACTTCTTTGGGACTCTCTGAGCTTCCTGAGCTTCCTGGACATCTATTTCCTTTGCCAGATTGGGGAAGTTCTCCTTTATTATTTGTTCAAATAACTTTTCCACTTGTTGCTATTCTTCTTCTCCTTCTGGTACCCCTATAATTCAGATGTTGGAACATTTAAAGATGTCCTTAAGGTTCCTAAGCGTCTCCTCACTTTTTTGAATTTTTGTTTCTTCATTCTTTTCTGGTTGGATGTTTCTTTCTTCCTTCTGGTCCACACTGATGATCTGAGTCCCAGTTTCCTTCCCGTCATTGTTGGTTCCCTGTATATTTTCCTTTATTTCACTTAGCGTAGCCTTCATTTTTTCATCTAATTTGCAACTAAATTCAACCAATTCTGTGAATATCCTGACTACCACCATTTTGAGCTGTGCATCTGATAGGTTGGCTATCTCTTGATCACTTGTAATTTTTTCTGGGGCTTTGATCTGTTCTTTCGTTTGGGCCATTTTTTTTTGTTTTGTTTTAACGTGCCTGTTACATAGTGAGGGGTGGAACACCTGGGAGGGGTAACCCAGGTCGCTGTGTTGTGACCTGTATGTGAGGAAGGGGTAGGAGAGGGAACAATTGCGCTTACTCTGCTCTCTGCTGGATTTCAGTCACTTCCCCCACTTCCCACAAGCAAACTGGGCCCTTCTGGTGCTGATTCCTGTGTGGGTGGGTTTGTGTGCATTCGAAGACCCTGTGGGTCTCTCCAACAAACTCTCCTGTGAGGCTGGGAGTTTCTCCTGCTGGTGCCTCAACACCTACAGGTGTTTTCAATCAGTGGTTTGAGGCTTTATTTCCCCATGCTGGGACCCTGGGTTGTATGGTCTATCCAGCTCCCCAATTGTTCCTCCTGGTTTATTTGTGCACAAATATGGGACTGCTGGCTCCACCAGCTGCTGCCTCGCTGGGTCCGTCAGCCACTGCCTTGCCTGCCCTGGTTCTCCAGCCACCACTGTGCCATGTGTCCTCTCCACCCTGCTCCCCAACTCCACCCCTCCTACCCATCTGGATGAATGTTTCCTCTTTAACTCCTTGGTTGTCAGACTTCCATACAATTAGGTTTTCTGTGAGTTCTGGTTGTTTTTTGTTTTTGAATTGTTGTTGTCCTTCTTTTGGTTGTGTGAGGAGGCACAGTGTGTCTACCTATGCCTCCATCTTGGCTGGAAATCCCTATGGTCATCTTTTATAAGAAACTGACACAATGAGAACTTTAAAAATATATTTTCCATCTGTCTTTGTTTCAAATACTTTTGACCCTTGAACAACATAGTCTAAATGTCAAATTAAAGTTGGGTTCAAATTAAATTCTATAGAACATTTATAAGAACATTATGCAAAACACCTATACAGAATTTTCCTAGAAATATATAGTGAAGCTCTTTCACATCCCATTTTTATGAATTGGGTCCCATTTCTATTCATTTTTTAAAATTTATTGAGGTAAAATTCATATAATATAAAAATCACCATTTATAAGTATACAATCAGCCCTGGCTGGTGTGCCTCAGTGGACTGAGCACTGGCCAGCCTGTGAACTGAAAGGTCACTGGTTCAATTCCCTGTCAGGGCATATGTCTGGGTTGCAGGCCAGGTCTCTGGTTGGGGGCATGCAAGAGGCAACCAACTGATATTTCTCTTGAACACTGATGTTTCTCTCATTCTCTTTCTCTCTCCTTTCCCCTTCTCTGAAAATAAATAAACTATTTTTTAAAAACTACTACAATTAAAAAATACATAAATAAAGGTATACAATTAAATGGCTTTAGCACTTTGACAATGTTGTGTAACTAACACCACTCTCAATTCCAGAGCATTTGTATCACTCCATTAAGCAACCACTCTCCTTTCCCCCTGCCCCAAACAACCAAATCTGACAAGCACCAATTTACTTTCTATTTCTTTGGGTTAGCCTTTTCTGGGTATTTCGTATAAATGCATTCATAAAATATGTGGCCTTTTATGTCTGGGTTCTTTCACTTTGCATGTTTTCAAGGTTCATCCAAGTTGTAGCATATACCAGTACTTAATTCCATTTTATCACTGAATACTATTCCATTGTAAGGATAGACTTAATATTATTTGTCCATTCATCAACTGATGGATATTTGAGTTGCTTCAACTTTGGGATTATTATGAATAATGTGACTGTGAACATTTGTGAACACCTATTTTCAGTTCTCAGGCATATACTTAGGCCTGGAATTGCTGGGTCATATGGTGATTCTATATTTACCTTTTGAAGAACTGTCAAACTGTTTTGCACAGAGACTACATTATTTTATATAATTATTAGCAAACTATAAAGGTTTAAATTTCTCCACATCCTTATTAGTGCTTGTTTTTTTTTCCGTTTTTGTTATAGTCATCATAGTGTCTGAAGTGGCATCTTATGTGTGTGTATGTTTATTATAGTTAGTTGAAAGTTTCAGGTATACAACATAGTGATTCTACATTTATATACCTTACAGTGTGATCATCACAGTATGTCTTTATTTGCCTTTTTCTATTGACTAATGATATTGATCTTCTTTTCAGGTGCTTGTTGGCCATGTGAATATCTTCTTTGAAGAAATATCTATTCAAAGTCTTGGCTCATTTTTAATTTGAGTTTTTGTTGTGTTTTTTTATTGTTGTTGTTATTGTTGAGTTGTAAAAGTTCTTTTCATATTCTGAGTATTTGAGTCTTATCAGATATACCATTTGCAAATAATTTCTTTCACTTTGTAGGTAGTCTTTTCATTTCTCTTGATGGTGTTGTTTGGTGCACAGGTGTGTTTAATTCTGATAAATCTAATTTACATACTTTTATTGTTATTGTTTGCACCTTTGGTGTTATATTTAAGAAACCATTGCCAAATCCAAGATATGAAGATTTGCCTCTAGATTTTCTTCTAAGTATTTTATAGTTTCAACTTTTATATTTAGGTTGTTAATCCCTTTTGAGTTAAATTTTGTATATGATGTAAGTTCAATGCCTTACCTCCTTTTTTTGCATGTAAATACCTAGTTGTCCCAGGATCATTGGTTCAAGAGATTATTTTCCCCACCCTCATAAATGGTTGGCACTCTTGTCAAAAATCATTTGACCATAGATATGTGTACAGAATCTCAACTTTAGCCCATTGATCTATATGTCTATCCTTAACACTTATACCACAATGTTTGGTTATAGGAACTATGTAGTAAGTTTTAAATCACAAAGTTGGAGTCTCCCAAATTTCTTCTTTTCCAAGATCATTTTGGCTTTTCAGGGTCCCTTGCAATACCATATAAATTTAGTTTTGCCTTTTCTATGTCTGTAAAAAAGGACATAGGGATGGCACTGAATCTATAGATAGCTCTTGTGTTGCATTGCTATCTTAACAACATTGTCTTCCAATCTATAGATACGGGATGTCTTTCTATCTATTTAGGCCTTCTTTATTTTTTGTCAGCAACATTTTATAGTTTTCAGGGTTAGGTTCAGAGACCTAGGGACAGTCCCTATCCCCCAGACCCTGCCTAAATTATTTAAACTAGCCAATCCTAAGCCTGCTTACCCTAAGTCTCCCATTCCTTCACTTTCAAACTCCAATAATGTT